GAAAAATGGGTTGGATGAGCATGAAAGTGGCAACAGGATTAAGGAGAGAGAGAAAAAGAATCAGGATTTGAGCTATTCTGTTAGAATATTTTTAATGTACATTTATAGCAGAACAGTATTCTGGCTCGCAAAATGAGAAGACACATATATAGAAATAAATATATCAGTGTGATTACTAATATTCCAAATATGAAAATTCATCATTATTGGGAATGTCCTCTAGAATCAGAAAAGTATTGCATAAAGAACATTATCTTTTATTTGATTTTTTTCCTTATAACTACTTATTCCCCTTTGACAGTATTGTACAAGATAGTGATTTCCTTTCTGTCCCAGGTAGGTCTTACCCACAGGATACTTCTCTTCCTTTTCTGTTTCAGTGGTCTTGCAGTTATTCCACATAGCTGCCAGTGCTGGTGATTTCTGAATATGCATATACATAGATTCTTATTTGTCAATCCATATATCCCTTTGTGCATGTTTCTCTCCCTCCACACCCATGCAGCCAAATGTAAACATTTATTTGACTATTTATTTTATTTGAGTTTGACTCTCTCTGTCCTGTCTACATGTATTATCCTCTGAACAAAAAGAAAGCAAGCCTTGGGATATAGACAGAATTTGGGTGATTTTTCCCAGGGCACATGGTAATAATTTTTTCTTTAGGCCTTCACAAGGGAGAAGGGACACAACTGTGGAGGGAAATATGAAAATTGGTAATTTCCCAAATGCAACATTTGCATTTTAGAAAATATATTTTTCAGCTGTTCCAATGAAATAGCATGAGATATAGGTGAAGGAGGCAATATATCAAACTGTTGAACGTAGATTTTTTTTTCTTACTGCAAAAGTGTAAAGTTCACATTTGTCAATAAGTATCTTTAGCATTCTTACCCCCATTGCTCATATATATTTAGAGCATCATCTTTCTCCTATTGTTTTCATTTGCACTCTAGAGTTTCTTAATTTTCACTTTTCTTCTTACCTTCTGTCATCAAAAGCTACAAGCCATTTCAGTCTAGAAAAATTTGAATTGTTAAATAAAAATAAAAGTTTGCAATAATAATTACAGTACGAAAATAATAATTACAATACATCTCTTGCCTGTCTCGAACGAGGAAATTAAAGAATAACTTACCAAGTCTGCAAGTGACACACAGCTGGGGACAATGGCTACTAATTTTACAGGACAGAGGAAAGATTTAACAAGACCTAGGCAGGCTTGAAATTAATATGATGGAATTGAACAAAAAGAATTATAGAGTTTTATATCTGGGTAGGAAAAATGGAAGGCACAAGTATAGGCTGGGCATGGTTTGCCTGTAATGCATGTGAAAAAGATCTGGGTGTCTTGAAAAAACAAATATGAGCCAGGGAGTGTGATGTGTAAAAAGGCAAATTAATTATATTAACAAGAGCTTAACACCCAGGTAACAGGAAGAAATTGTTCCACTGCTCTCTGATCTTGTCAGTTCCACTTTAAATACTACATTCTTGGAGCACAGTTCAAAAAAGACAATGATAAATCGGTGCAAGTTCAGAGGAGGGCTACCAGGATGATGAGTGATCTGGAAACCAAGCTATATAAGGGATCCCCATGTTATCTGGGTATGTTTTGACTAACAAAGAGATATTATAGCAGTCTTCAAGTATGTTAAGGGTTGTTACAAAACTGGAAAACCAGAGTGGACTCATTCTCTATTGTCCTAGAAGACAGGGGTTAAAATTACAAGGAAGGAGGTTCATATCATCAGCCAGAAGAAAGCCATCCACTGATGAGGAGATTGATACAGCAATGGGGCGGAGATAAATCTGATGAGATGGCAAGTTTGGACAGGTGGTTGTTCTGCTTTTCCTGACCCTCCCAATAACTGTTCAGCAGGCTACGCACAGCAGTAGTCTTTCTGCCCAGAGAAAAAAAGAAAAAAAATGGCAGCAGTGGAGAGTGCCCAGTTATCTCAGGGGAGATGATGTGTCTGCATCAGCCTGAAGTGCCCAATGAGTGCTGGGCTGTTCCCGGCAACTAAGGGACACCTGACTATGCTGCCAGTAGAATATCAGCCAAACCAGTCCGGTCTAGCAGTTAAGGCACCAGGCTAGAAACCAGGAGACTGCGGGTTCAAGTCCTGCCTTAGGCATGAAAGCCAGCTGGGTGACTTTGGGCCAGTCCCCCTCTCTCAGCCCAACTCACCTCACAGGGTTGTTGTGGGGAAAATAGGAGGAGGAAGGAGTATTAGGTCTGTTTGCCGGCTCGAGTTATTTATAAAAATAATAAAGGTGGGATAAAAAAATCTTTTAAAAAAACAGTCCACATCCTAAAGCTACTGTGTACTAAGGGAGAAAATGCTACTGTAAACTGGAATAGTTAAGTACAATTTAAACCTGTTTCAATTGTGGGCTGGAGATGAGATGAAAGCAATGGTATGGCAATAAAGCAGAAAAAATTGGTCACAGGGCATGTACATATTGTGGTTCAATGCAAACAGGGAAAGGCTCGGAGCAAGAGAACAGGCAGCATTCCAGAGGGGAAGAATAGCTGGGCCAGAAGACATAGGGAAACTTCCCAAAAGTGAAGTCTTGGGCAGATGTCAGCCATATCCACTCTGACCCTTGGTCCTACTTTTCCATCTTGCCAAGCCAATAAGTCGTCTCTGGATGCAGGAACAGCAATTCAGAAAAAATCCTACAGGCAATACATGACTCAACAATTATGCCAGAAAAGCTGTTCAGGATTTGCTCTAGGATTTGTCCCTGGGTCAAAGGTTTCATTCATCCAGTGAGCTGAAGTCTGTATCCTTGAGATTTAGATTTAGTAGAACTCTTGGATTTTGAACATTTTGGATCAGTGGTCACAGCAAACAGCTTCCCCCTCCCTCTCTCCCCTTCCATTAGAGTGTTGGAAAAGGAAAAAAGCAGGAGGCTGCAGGCTTGTACTAATCAATATGTAATATTGTCCATGGTCTTATAAGTGATATTGTATTAGGTTACAGTATATAATGCAGTATTGATTATATCATATTGCATAATCACATATAAACAGAAATGTAGAATAGTCAGGAAGACCAAAACAGAGTAGTAAACTTGAGGGATATATGATCTGCATTCTGAGAATTTCCTTTGGTTGCAACATAAAAAACAGTCTGCTGTTTGAAGGAGAAGACATATGTTTCCTTCATAATGCAGTTACCTTCTTCTACCCCTCAGTGGTAAGGCTAGGACATTTTTAAATCTCTGGATTCCAGCTACATAATGGGCACAGCAAGACTAAACTGCAGAGACTTAACATGTTAAATATGTTTTCATATTCACTATTAAGAGAATATGGAGCAGTTTCTTCTCTTTTACAGATGTGCCATATTTCTCTGGTAAAAATGGGAAACTGCAACACCTTGAGCCCAAGGCAAGAATAATGCAAATTAGGTGGCATGTACACTTAATAATTTCTGCCCTGCAAAAGTTTCATTTTGTGTGGCTAAAAATGTTATTAAGAAGTCTTGCACTTGGAATCTATATAACACAAGTTTTGTATTAGTATTGTGGTGCTACATACACAGAACAGTCTAGCTAGTGAGACTGCACACGTACTCATATGGGGTATAAGTAGGCTAACATCTTGAGTTAACGCGAATAGGTTTTTGAATCACTCTCTCAGAGTATGTCTTATCTTGGGTTAGTTAGTTAGTTAGTTAGTTAGTTATTTGGCTTTTCCCAGCCCATCTCCCCCCAGTGGGGGACTCTGGGCAGTTTACAACAATTAAAACAAATAAATACATAATTAAAATTTATAAAAAGAGAAAAGCACATTTACCCAAAATGGAAGGAGGAGAAAAAAAATCCAAGAGGCCGATGGAAGCAACACCAGGCCACTAGGGGGCTATCCAACCCCATTTCTGATTACCTCCCTCCCTGCCCCAGGCCACGTGGCAGAGCCAGGTCTTCAAATCCCTCCGAAAGGCCGGGTGTGAGGGGGCCTGTCTCACCTCTGGGGGCAAGATGTTCCAAAGGGTGGGGGCTACAGCAGAGAACACCCACCTTCTGCACCCCACTAGTCGGAGTTCTTTTGCCGAGGGGGTCCGGAGCATGCCCTCTCTGAGAGATCGGGTGGGTTGAAATCGTGGGGGCGGAGTTCTTTTGCCGAGGGGGTCCGGAGCATGCCCTCTCTGAGAGATCGGGTGGGTTGAAATCGTGGGGGCGGAGTTCTTTTGCCGAGGGGGTCCGGA